TGAATTGTTCATTTCCAGAAATTCTGTTTTTCTTTAATACTTCAATTTCTTTAGAGAATTTTTCATTCATCTCCTGCATTGTTTTTGTGGCTTCTTTGTGTTGGGTTTCTATTTTCTCTTGTATTTCACTGAGCTTCCTTACAATTCATGTTTGAAATTCTTCACCTGTCATTTTAATCTTTTTATTTAGGTTGGTATCCATTGGTAAGGAGTTACTGTTTTCTTTAGGGGGTGACCTCTTTCACTTTGATTTTTCATATTTCCAGAATTTTTTTCTGGTTACTACTCATCTGGTCTCTCAATCGAGAGCCAAGGGTGTTATAGGGCTACCTTATGGGCCTGTCTCGGAGACCCCAGAGATTGGTCCCTGACCATGTCAGGGAGAAAAGTGCTGGTCTGAGTTGCCTTTGGGATGCTCTAGCAGGTTTGATGAACCTCTCTTGTTACCTCTGACTTGTTATCATCACCTCTTCCCAACAGTGGGTAGTGAGTTAGGTAGTTCCCCCAGCTTAATCTCTAAGACAGTAGGTAGAATTTGTGGGTTTGAATCCTTTGCTCCCTGTTTGCTTGAGATAGAAGGTGCTGTATGTAGCAATGGGGTTGCTCCCTATCTTTGATAGTAGTTTGTGTGGAAGAGCCAGCTGCCAAGGAGTTCTTTTGTAAGCTCTTGTGCCCCAGATGGGGCAGGGAGATGCCCTAAGCTTTAGGAGGGACCCTGGAGTTCCCAGGGAGTTGCTTGATTTCTACTCCCCCTGTGGTGGGGGGAGGAACAGAACAAATGGTGACTGAGTTGCTAGGGCCTGAGAGGTTTTGCTGAGCCTCAGTGGGGTTCAGAAGTTGCTATCTGGCCGCTAGGGGGAGCTGCTGATACGGAGTTTAGGGCAATCTCTCCAAACTTGGAGAGCTGCTCCTAATTGGAGGGGCCTGATCATGTGATTGCTAAGGCCCCAAGCCAGGCTTTTTCAGTCCCGGTCCACTAGCCTGGTTTCTCTGTGGGGTGGGGCATGTGCCCTCCCTATTTTCTCCCTGGAACTCCACACACTCTCCCCTCTGGTCAATCCACATGCATTCCCTCTCTGCCCAAGCCTGGCTTTTAAGCTACCCCACAGTTTGTATGTCTGACACACTGGCATGCATCTCTCTGTGACAAAGGTGGGCACAGGGATCTCCAACTGTGTACCCCTGTTTCACCACTAAACCCCAATGTGAGGGAGGTAGATCTCTCTATCCGCAGAGGTCTGGACCAGGGGCCCGCTCCAACCAGGGGAGAAACAGCAGCTCACGAGCCTCTTGGATTAAGCTGCACTGCCTACTGTAGCGAGTAGTGGGAGGGGCCACTGGTTCAGTTCAGGCAGCAGGCTCTAGGCATTTGGTTGCCATAGGAACAAAATTTTTTTAATTAAACAAAACACAAGAAAACTGAGGAGAGAAATCAATGCTCAAAAACTGCAGGAGAAACAATATTCCACATATTTAGTTCATGCAAGTAACTAAACAAACACAACAATCCCCAATGGGGGAGGGGAAGGATGTGAATCTAAAGTTGCTTACATTACATAAAATGTCTAATTTTTGATAAAAGTATAAGGCATGCAAAGAAACAAATGACCCATGGCGGGTAGGGGGAAGCAGTCAATGGAAACTATCTCTGAGGTGGCCAAATGTTGGGCTTAGCTAAGACTTCAAAGCAGCTATTAGAAATACATTCAAAAACCTAAAGGAAACCATGTTTAAAGAGTTTTTGTTAAGTATGATGACAGTGACTCATCAAGTAAAGAATATCAAGAAAAACAAATTATAAAAAAGAACCAAATGAAAATTCTGGAGTTGAAAAGTTCAGTAACTGAACGAAAACTTCACTACAGGTGCTCAACATCAGATTTGCACTTCCAGAAGAAACAATACACAAGTCTGAAAACAGATCAAAAGATATTTCCAATCTGAAGAACTGAAAGAAAAAAAGTATGGAAAAATGAACAGACTCAAGAGAGCTGTGGGACATCATCAACCATAGACCATTAAATGTGCACAATGGGAATTCCAGAGAAGAGAGAAAGGGACAGAAAGCATTTTATTTTATTTTTTGTTTATTTTTTATTTTTATTTTTTTTTTGAGACAGAGTCTCACTTTGTCACCCAGGCTAGAGTGCCGTGGCATCAGTCTAGCTCACAGCAA